TCTATTGCTAATGATATGACTGTAAAACTCTAGCTCTCTCTTAGTGAATATACACTTAGAGAGCTTTGCATATAGTTAATGTTCTTAGAGTTGGTCAAGCACCTATTAAACATGCTTCTCATGTTCCTTATCTAAGTCTGAGAAGATCAAGATATCATTAAGGTACACTACCACAAAGTCAAGATCTTGCATAATGCCATTCATCATCATTTGGAATGTTGTAGGTGCATTATAAAGTCTAAAAGGCATTGCTAAGAATTTGAACTTACTAAATAATATGTTAAAAGCTATCTTTAGAATTAATAATTCACCCATTCGCAGCTGCCAGTATCTGGAGAGGAGATTAAGCTTTAAAAGATACTTAGCTTGACCTGCTCGATCCAGAAGTTCTTAAATTTATGGTAGTGGATAGGTATTCTTAACAGTCATCTTATTAAGCAAGTGGTAGTTAATACACATTTACTATTTCCTATCAGCTTTAGGGATAATTATCACCAGAAAGCCCCACGCACTAGCTAAAGGGTGAATAATAGCTTTCTTTAATAGCTCTTTAACTTACTTCTTTATCTCATGAAACTTTTCAGGTGACTAAGGGTAAGAGTTCATGTTTATCAGCAAGGAATCTCCAGTGTTGATATAATGCTGTATTAACTAAGCTAGAGGTATTTCTAGGTGTAACTCTTCCCTAAATACATCTTCATACTGGGCAAGGAGAGGCCTTAACTAAGATAGTTCTACTAATACTTCCTCTTCCTTTTCCTTTTTAAGCTCTTAAATAATGAATAACTAGGCTTCTTATTAATCCTTTTGAAGGGTATGCTAAAGTTATTTTATAGAGATAAAACTTATAAGTGCTTCTGGGCCTGATTTAATTTAGTATTAAAGATTAATAAGGTTAATAGTCACATGCTTTATTCCTTGCCCCTTAATTATTATTTAACCTATAATCCAATCAATATCAGGATTAATATATCTTAGCTAATCTCAACCCAGAATAATATTATACTCTGTCGTTTTGAGAACCCAAGGAGTGATGATACAAGGCTAACTACTAATTCTAAGAGGGATCTGAACTTAACATGATGTATACATAACTTTATTATTTAGCAAGCAAACTTGTAAAGGGTTAAGCATATACTGAAAGCAGAACCATAATAAGGGTAGCAAATCAGCTAAGTGTTTTGATATAAATGTATGGCTAGAGCTACAGTCTAGCAGTGCTTAGATATAGGCCATCATCCCAGAAGCTTCAAGTTTGGCAGGGAAGTAGATAAGATCAGATCTAAGAGTATTCAGATAGGCATTAATGTAATCACAATCTTCTAGTTCTAAATCTATCTGTACAGCATTGAGTATTCCCTTAAGGGGTGGTCAATCCTCCTTATCATTATTCCTATTTAAATCATCATGATATTTGGGCAGTTTAAGGTCATTAGATACCTCACACTCCTTAACTTTAGAAGCTTTTAGCAATTAATTAACTAGTGCTTCCTCATCTAGTGGTTGTTTACTTTTCCTGATTATTTCTTATAATAGGTCTTTAATTAATTTAATACTGTATAAGCTTGCATATTATAGCCTTTCTATCTATAATTAAAGTAAGCTTGGTTTATTTAACACTAAGCCTTCTATTCGCGCATTCCCTTCTTCAGATGATTAGGAGATGCAAGGATAGCATTCAAATTAATATCCATTGGGTCTATTTAACTATTATTAGTCTTGCTAAAGGATTGGAACTATACCTAAGTATATAAAGTAACTCCCTGCTCATACTTAGTAAAGTAATAAACCACATCATTAAAAGTAGTTAGTTTGCTATGATCTTCTGCCTAGTGAGCACGTAGAATTAGTTTTAAGTTAGTAATAAACTTCTAGACTAACACATTGTTAGGAATTCCAGACTTAATATATTTGGTGGCTTCTACTAGGGAAGCAGCATAAGATTATACTATCTAGTTACTTTAAGTGCACCTCTTATACTCTTCCTAATGCTTAATTTCTCCTCTGATCTCTCTGAAGTTTTCTTAAATCCACTGCTTAAAATTATCTAGAGTGGTAATAGCAGCTGTTAAATTATATTTAATCTTTTGCTCATGAGCGTCCCATTGCTCCTTAGCTTAGCTAATAAGGTGATGCTTAACTACTATGACCTTTTCAAGATTAGTAGCATCCTTTTGAGTAAGAGTTTGCTTATTATAAAAGTAATTATTAACCTGCTTAAGCCACTTCGCTGCAGCATCCTTACTGTACTTGCCATTGTATATAGGGATAGGCTCAAGGTTAGAGACCTTTTAATAAGGCTTGCATTCTTCAGAGCAAAGAGAAGAAAGAAAGTAAGGGTTAGGAGCTATGGTTGAAGCTCCAGCAACCCCTTCTAGCTAAGGGTAATTATGCTCAGCCTGGAGAAGTCTAACCAGGTGTTCATACAGTTTAATTAGTTTATTTTGAGCATTCTAGTCAGTCACGCCATGAGCTGCCTGAGCGAACCACTATTAAAGATGGTCCCAGTCAGTCTCGAAGCTATTACTGTTATAGGTAAACTAGGTTTGAGGAGTCTCTATACTAGAAGATATAGATTTAATGTCGTCCATTTTGATAAGAGAAGAATGATAATCAAGTTAGGAATAGAAATCTGAATTAAGCTTATCAATGGTAATTTAAATCTATTAAAATGATTTTAATTATCCCTATTTATCTTATCCTTCATAATTAGACAACTTGATCCTGTCATCAGTCACTTTTTAGAAAGCTTGGATAGTTAATGACGTCCACTCTGCGATGTGGCTGTGGGGAAGAGCTAACTAGATATCCCAGGTGAATCATTGCTGTTACAGGTATCTAGATCAGCCTGAGGAGGTCAAAGTAGTTAATCTGAGGCATTTTTCCACTGAGTTGAGGACGGTTGATATGAGGCATTTATCAAAATCAACCTGTTAGTGGCGTCCTCAAAGTCCTAAGACTATGGTCTTTCGGTGCTGCTGGGGTTCAGATTGAATCCTTCGCGGGGATTTTGAACCTTCTCAGGAATCAAGCGTCATACAATCGCCTGATCCAGACATGCTACTAGATGAGATAATTGTTGATTGCAGGGGGCGTAGAGCCTTCAAATCATGTGAGGGTAGGGGGTAGGCCAAAGGCCGCCCCGTACATGTCCTGCTGATATCGAGGGATTCTGGCCCCTTTTATAATCCTACCTAAGCTATGAAGGAACGTAAGAATCTACATGGTTACATACATGCTGATGACATCTACCAATATCCTCTGCGCACCCTCGTAGACTTAATCGAAATCACACATATTGATCGATATCACACTAGTAATGCTTAGGGTCTGTTCCCTAATAGGCAGTGAATTCTTTATAGGAGATGCTGTTAGCTAGCTTATAGGTATCTTCATTAAGGCTACTGTTCTCTGTCTGGTTAAGTAGGGCAGTCAGCCTTCTAGCAAAACCTGAGCCTGGTCTAGTACACTAAGTGGAGGGGTTATAGGTTCTATTTCCAGCTCCTTACTGGTTCTTAGGCTCCTTAGTGGAAGCTGCAGGTCTAGCTATTATTTATTCTTTATGATCTTAGTTAATAGATTATATTATTATCTCTAACCATTAGCATTATTAGCATGCGAGGGGTTCTTTGCAAGAGGAGGTAAGATCAGTGCTTTAATATAAAAAAGAACACATTTCTTACTAGATCTTGCACCTTCTAATGAAAGAGATGATGAAGGAAGTAATGCTTAGTTTTATATAATAGCACTGCTCATATTCTAATGGTATGGTAGTATTTCAATAGAAAACTAAGCATAGAGAAGAGGGGGAGGAAGTATGTACATAGTAGGGGAGATATGTAAATAGAGGGTGGAATAGTACAAACAATCCAAACAGCCCTGGAGAGGTAAGTAGTTAAGATGGGCAGAAAGCTCCATTATAAGGAGGTCCGCGGGGAACATGGTGACGGATTGTCACAGTACAGTCTTTCTAAGACTAGAAGGAACTATGCGCTACTATAAAGGCTTAATACCTAAATTATATTAATCCACATGCAATTCTCAGAGGAGTGATAGCAGCCTTCCCAGGTAGCACTACAGCCTAAGTCTTAGAAAGATTATTTGAAATGGAAGATATTAAACACGCTTACTTATATACTTATCCCCATATTTATTTTATCACTCTTGTGTATAAGTTCAGTAAAGTCTCCACAGGTCTGAGGAATATTCACTATTCTTACACACTGTATAGAAGAATGCCCCTCCAACACGGCTGTGCAAGCAAAACAGAGATAGAAGATGTCTTTGTCTGGCTGGAAATGCAAGAAGCAGAAGTCTGTTTGTTCTCAAAGTAGTCTTTTCTCCATTTTGCGTATTTTTCTCGAACCCATAATCGCCGTCGGGTGCGGCTTCAGAATGACTAATCCGGGTTTAAAACTTTATGCCATGTATTTTCAGTCCCCTCGGCCTACGCTCTTAACTCCGTTGATAAGCATCCCTTTGCCTTGGAGGCGGTGTCGCTAGCAGCATTCCAGTACTCCTTCCAGTACTTCCTAACTTCCTTCTGCTCTTCTGCGCTGAGCTTCTTGATACTGGCCTCAATGCGTTCGAGGGTAGCTTTAGAAGGTTTCCACCCTTCGGGCCTCTTGGAAGCATTAATATGATCGCAATTCTTCTATGTATGTCGAGGGTTTCTACATAGGCATCGCTTTTGAGAACTCTGACTGTTCCCTTGAGCATTCTGGTTGTTCCCATGGTCGTTTTAACTCTCCTGTTGTTCACCAAGGGTGGCCAGTCATCGCGATATTGCAGGCGTTGCCCTGAGATTTGGCTGTGCCCTTTGCATTCCGATGATTTCTGTATGCTGCCAAGACATCTTGGAAAGAAAATCGAAGGATGGATCTGAGATATACTTCTCCAGAGAGAGACGAAGACCTCATCGAAGGTCTCAACTGCTTGGAGAAAATCTCGAATGGCATCTCAGTCCTGAGGGTTTCCTTTATCATCGCTATATGCGATATTCATTGCTTTGCCCTCTTCGTAGAAATTTGACCACGTTGCAAGCCATTTTTCAATTGAGATACTGCCAATTGGTCTTCTAACCAAATCTCTCCATGCATCTGTACACTCTGGCGGCTAGTATCACCCTTAGGTTCAAACTGCTGCTTCAAGCGGACCGGTTTCTCGTATGGGGTGACCTTGCCCTGGAGAATATGATGGTGTTCCGGAGCAACATTGGCCTGGATCAAGGTATCGACCTTGTTAATCTTTGTGTGAACTGAATCGTTCCAGCGGGTCTCCTTATCGAATTCGGAGGTTAGCCGCTGGTATTTCTTGTACTTCGGCTCATCCAGTTGAGAGACATCGATCGCCCCAGGCTTGATTTCGCTCGGACGAGGATAAGAATCACGCGAATCTATAGGAGCTTTGCGAACCGATTATTCAGGAAGGTCGGGATTCATGTATTGCCTAACATTCCCCTTCGTTGCTTCAGCCTTGACTTTAGTGATCCAGGTTCTCCACTGAGTATCAGCATGTAGGTATCCCAAAGGGTCTCCACTACTGCTTTACTGGATTCGGCAGCCATGGTGGAGTGGATTCAGGGGATATGAGGCTCAGCGGATAGGAAGAATCGCTGGTGGGCTAATAGAGGCAGATGAAGACGTGAAAAAGTCTGATGATACGTATTATCCATGGCAAGGACCACCCAACCGCTACCGCTCTTGGGTGGTCCCACCTTCCAACGATAAAAACTTTCCAACGATAAAAAATCCCCCATTACCTACTATTTTCTACCACCACCACCCACCACCATGGCTAGCGCATACCAGGAAATAGAGAATCGAATCTATTTAGCCCTTGAAGCCTATCAACGCGATAAAAATCGCAAACTGACCGCGCTGGCGCGTGACATCGCTGTACCCTACCAACAGCTGCGGCGCAGGGCCCAGGGGGGTCTTCAAAGATTGGCAACCAGAACCGCCCACGCCTGCTTACTGAGGCCCAGAAGCAAGCTATTGTGAGGACTATTGACCACCTACGCCGATATAATATCAAGTTAAATGGCAAGGGCATCGAGGACTCCGCAAATCTGCTACTATGGCGGCAGTACGAGCGGGACCACCCAGAGGCCGCGATGCCAAAATCTAAATCAATTCTCTCTGGAGGAGTGGAGACGAATGGCAATGAGCACAGCGTGCGAGGACAGGTATTTGGCCCGTACGGGGCACCTGCGGTCTAATCCGCTGATGTAGGGCTCCTTGTGAAGAGAGCGCAGGGCTCGCGTCCTCGGAGGGCTACAGCGCCGTGAGGGCCGCAGGCGGGCCCCATAGCACTCCCTATATTGCTACTAGTTCTAGACCACTCACATCCCCACTCGTCCATGAACTACGCGTATTTAAGTGCCGATATTCAATGCATGGATGTTCCCCGTGTCGATCTTCCAGCTCAAAATGCCCACCGGTCCCACAACATTGACTGTTCGCTCATGTTGATCATGCCGTTCCATTCGTCCCACCCTGGGTTGTTGATATCTTGAAGTGACTCATCACCTGTGTTCTGATCTTGTGACTTCGGCAGTGACCGCGGGGCCGACTGCTCTGGTTCCACCGGCAAGTGCTCTTCTTCACGTTGGTAGACACTCGAAATAGCATCCATGCCTCCTACATGTGCATCTGGATCGTTGATTCTGGCCAAAAACCAGGCTTGGGGCCGCCATTCCAAGCTCGGATGTCTGGTTGGCGGAGAAGTCCCAGTTGCGATCTGCGCAGCCCCTGGAAGGTCATCTGCTCTGATCCATGAAAGCGCACTTCCTCCCCCCTCGCTAGGTTCAGCCTTCATGTTTCTTAAAGCGCCCGTGGAATCCGAAGGGGTATAATGTCTTCGTACACTATTGTCTGATCGGTTCTTGAGTTGCTGGAGCCGCCGCTTCTTCACGCTTTGAATGACATTGAGCAGCGGTTGCCAGAGCGGCTCCTCTCTAATGGACTCGGGACATGCCTCCAAAATCCTCGTCACGACACTCCAGGCGCGTTCTGCCATTGCGTTAAATTCAACGACAGACAGCCGACTGAGCACCAGAGCAAGCGGCTGCCACTGTATGAAACCGTCGAGCTGCCACGCCCAACACCTGGTGAGAGGACCATGCTGGAGCATATGTATGTACTCAAGGATTCCCACCGCCAAGTGGAACAGCGTACCGGTCTCAAGGCGACCGTTGCTGTGTTGTAAAGATGGTTGACGAATATGGTGCACTATGAGCTCGTATCGTCTCACTGCAACAGCCGCCATTGTCCGAGTGAAGAGGTATATCGGCTTGTCCGGCTGGCTGGGGGCGAGAAACTCTGCAAACTCCTGCTGAGAGAACTTCGAGAGCTGTTCGAGCTGGTGGAGAGTGTCGGCATCTAGCTCGCTCCTGGCGGCAGGGGTACATGGGCGACGTTGCATCTTTGATATGCTTGCCAACTCTCCGTATCCTGCACCTGAGGAGGCAGATGGCCATATCAGTGTGTCCGTTCCTCGCTTCTGGCAGGGCTGACATATTTAGCTGCACGTCATCGTCGTCCAGGTTCAACGGGAGGTTTGTGTCGGAGATGGCGTCAGATATCGACGTCTCTGGCACCTGAAAGTCCCCCGTGGCAAAGTCGAGGATGCGAATGTAGCACCACGCGCGTCGTCGCACCTCGGTCTCGAAGGGGCTTATAGCAGGGAAATGAGAGCCATCACGGTTGAGGCCAAGGGCCACCGCTATCCGAGAGATCAGCCAGTCAAGGCCCAGACGTACCGCTGTGACTCCTCCAAGCGGATTAACAGGGTATACACGAGGAGGGCCTGGACCACGGAAAGCTCTTTTGTGTTGATAAAGTCTGCTCGGGAAAGACAATTTTCTGTTCCGAGGCGGAATCGAGATACAAGATCTTTCTTATTGGAGCGGAAGTGGATTTGAACCTGCACGAAAGTCCTTGGTTAGGCCGAAAGGCCCGAGTGTACCACGGGGTTGGACTTTACCTCTTCACTGCTTAAAGACTTGACGGCCGCAAAGGCAATGCTGAACATCAGCGGCTCCATTGAGGAGGGCAGCACATCAAAGTTTCCCCGGGAATCGGGAATCATCTTGCAAATAGTTGGAACATGCAGAACCCTGATGAAGGGATCAACATTTTCGACAAATGTCTGCCAGGTGAAGAGCGTTTGAGATGGTAAAGGCCGAAGGTCCTCCGTGCTCGCCGTACTCATGGAGCGGCTGCTAAAGAGGAAGCTGGTTGCGCTGGCCGAGATGGTCCTGTGAGAGGACTGAAGGCTCGGAGTGTAGATGGAGTCGGCGGCATCATCTTCATGGCTAGCCGCATTGATGTTCTGCTTTATGCATCGAGCTTGGTCAGAGTTTATTAGCACTCGTCTACTATCAGGCCTCTTGAGGTGAGGAGGGTGCAGTCTTACCTCCTGCTGTAGGTCTGCCCAGAAGCCATCACCAACGTAGAGTCTCCCTCGTTCTTGACGAACCAAAACACCGATCTCTGAAGAGTCATTGGCGCGGCGCAGCCCCTCCTTGAGGAAGAACCAACATCGCAAAATCTATCTTCATCCTGGTTCATGAGTGAGACCTCACTCCCTGCGAGGTTTTCATGCTGCTTAGATTGGCTGGTATCAGTTCTGGCATGAAGACGGCTGACCACGTTCTCCAGCCGGTGGATGCAATCCATGAGATCAACCTGCCTCCCGCTACTGGCCGGAGTCTCCCGCCGCATGCGCTGGGGTTGCCGTAGTATTCGACCAGTAGTCGGAAAAATAAATTCCTGGTTGGCTTTGGTGCAGTTGACGCACGGGCGACGGCGGTCGCAGCGGGCTTTGCGCTCCTTGCAGCTGACGCAGTTCCGCGGTGCTCGGTTTTGGTCCACAGGCATGTCGGTACAGCAACAGAATGTGGATTACAGCGGTCTTGTCTCGTGTCGTTGGTATGGAGTTGATGGATGTTGAGAAACGCGGGGATGGTACTCGGTTTTCAGCCCTCGGAGTCTATAGTCTAAAGCCGCTGGAGAGACGATCGACCCAAACCCCAGCTTTTGATCCGTGCGCTGCTTAAGATTTTCGGCCTTGAGTAAGGCCCGGAGTCCCGGTCCATAAATCCGATGACCCGTTGCAGGATTGGGACAGTATTCAGAGCCAATTGTCTGGGGCAACATGCGATACTCTGGTGTGTGATGTCGAGGTCTCTCACTTATGATTCGCATGGCTATTGATATAAAAGGAGCAGCATCGCGGGCCCTCTCTGCTTGTTTCGTGACATTCAATATCGACTTGTATCATCCGGCATTGCTTATACTTCCTCCTATCAAACATCACCATGGCTCCAGGGACTCCAATCAAGAACCTCGACTCGCTCAAGGAGAATAGACTGTTCATCAATGGCGAATTCGTTCCCTCGGTCTCGGGCAAAACGTTTGACATAACCAATCCCACAACCGAAGAGGTCATTTCTTCTGTCCATGAAGCCGGTGTCGAAGATGTAGATCTTGCTGTCGAGGCTGCCAAGGCCGCCTTTCCAGCGTGGGCGGCTCTCTCAGCTGAGGAGAGGTGCGATTACTTGTTCAAGCTGGCGGATGAGATTGAAAAGCATGAGGAGTTGTTCATGCACCTGGAGGCCACCGCCATGGGAATGCCACGGTCCGGAACTCAATGTCAGCGATTCCCTCATCCTTGCATTTGTACGACGTGTATCGTGCTGACCAGATACCAGTTGTCTTGGGCATGGTGAAGCGGTATTTGAGATACTTTGCCAGTCATGCCATTGACGTTATTGGTGAGACTTCTCTCAACACCTCTGGATACCTCAACCTGTCCATCCGTCAGCCTTACGGAGTATGCGGTGGCATCATCCCCTGGAATGCTCCCTTGTTCATGGTTGTCACCAAGATTGGTCCAGCCCTGGCAGCTGGTAATACCATGGTCCTTAAGTCGTCAGAAAAATCACCTCTTTCGTCCATCGTCTTCGGCTTGTTGAGCCAGAAGGTCGGTCTCCCCAATGGTGTCCTCAATATCCTGAGTGGATTTGGTCGACCATGTGGTCAGGCCATCGCCAAGCACATGGACATCAGAAGGATATCGTTCACGGGTTCGGTCGCTACCGGGCGGGCCATTCAGAAAGCCTCTGCTGAGTCTAATTTAAAGGACGTCAGTTTGGAGCTTGGCGGCAAAAGCCCTTTGCTTGTCTTTGACGACGCACCCCTTGAGAAGGCTATAAGGTCCGCTGCCTTCTCCATCCTCTACAACTCTGGACAGGTCTGCATGGCCAGCACCAGGATCTACGTACAAGAAGGCATCGCTCCCAAGTTCGCTGAAGCCCTCAAGCAGGAGATGACGCAGCTGGGTGTCCCGGGAGATCCTACGCTCGCGGACACAAAGAAAGGGCCTCAGGTCGACAAGCTGCAGTTTGATCGCGTTCTGTCCTACCTCGACCACGCAAAGAGCCAAGGCTTTGATATTGCACTTGGTGGAAACAAGGCTGCTGACAAAGGTTATTTCGTGGATGCGACTATCGTCCGCAATGTTCCTGAAACTGACAAGTTGGTCAGAGAGGAGATCTTCGGCCCTGTTCTGGTGATCAATACCTTCTCAAAGGAGGAGGAGGTCCTGAAGAGGGCCAACGATACCGAGTTCGGCCTCTACTCGAGCGTATTCACGAGCGATGTGTCGCGGGCTGTGAGAGTTGCCAAAGCGCTAGAGGCTGGCGCGGTTGGGGTGAATTGTACTAGCCCATTCATGGTTGTTGATCTACCGATGGGCGGATGGAAGCAGAGTAGTGCAGGAGGTAGGGAGTTTAGCAAGACCTGTCTGGATAGTTGGACGCAGTTGAAGAGCGTGTTTATTTCTTTGTAGATCCTACCGTTAGCAGGGTTTGGCAACATGTCAAGGACCATTTTGTCAATCAGATCTTAAACTACTTAGTGAGGCTCTACTAGTTGGCAATACGCACTACGACCCTCAAGATCTGTTAGAAGGCTCCCGGAACTCCACCAGACCCGCAAGCGTCCTTGCCCTCTTACTCCAGATTCCCCCACAATCCATGTGGGCTCAGATATAGATGAAATTAAGGCGAAGCCACGATGACATTCCTATTCCACGAGTTAGTCAAGTCTGATCCAGGGTTATCAGGGCGTGAATAAGGGAGATAAGCAAGGTACCTACAGTTGGGTGGTGGTCTCGACTCATTCAATGCTCATGTACGGAGTACTGTGCATTTCGTTGGCTCTCACCAATAGAGTTGTCTGATAGTGGTTCCGATAAGCTGAACCCTGGTTAAGCATCGTTAGTGCCCTGAAACGAACGAAGGTGAGAGGAAGGGTTACCTTGGTTGCGTAGGGAATATCCCTGTTGTCAAAAACTTTGCCCTGAAACGAGGAACGAGTGAAAGGGGTTATTTCGGCCATGGCTACAGGTGAGGTACGCGGCTTCTGCCGCGAATGCTGGCCTGCCAAACTTGCACCTTCGCTTGCCTCCGATTCGCCCATTCTAGGGCGTTTTCTCGCTTCTCGTTGGTTGCCGACTGTGTTTCCTTATTGGCCCCTTTCTCCTGCTTCTTACCTTTGCAATTGGCCTTCAACGACTTCCTGTTTTGGTTTGGCTTCCTTGCTCTCCCTACCTTGATCCTGGACGATGCTTTCCTCTGTGATCCTTGTATACACTTCTGATACCTCTTTTTGGGCAACTTAGTGCTTACGCCTACTAGCTACTTCTGCGTTGTATGAATTTTGGTTTTTGTTTGCTGTTACTGGCATAAATGCTTTCCTGCTTCCGTGCTGCACATGTGCTCTTCCGGCTCCGCCACCCCGCTTTCTCCTTCTATGAGATTTTGAACTCGTCGAGGTCTTATTAGGCCTGGCATACCTCTTACTATTAATGCATATCGTGAACTACCCTCGCCTTTCCACTACGTTTCAGTGTTAGGTCGTCAAGCCTTTTCTTTCTGTTATTAGTCTACCGATCATGGACCAGAGTCCGCCAGAGGCACCCACTTTGTCCCCATGTTTTAATCTCTTTCAAAACTCCTTTCGTACCTTGCGGCGCGCTTCAGATTTATTACAGTCTCCAAAACCACCTACCATCCTGCCTACGCCTTCTCCCCCTTCCCCTCGCCGACTGTTACCACTAGCACCGGCGCCGACGACTAGCCCTCACCACATTCGACCAAACCTAACACAACCGTTCACCCAGAATCCAGTAGCCATATGCCAGCCTACTTCCCTCACAACACCACTGCTCGTATCCAAAGCGACAGAAAATCCATCAACGTCTTTTCGAGTATCGAATATATGCCCTAAACGGCCTGCCCCGTCTAAACGCGCTACTATTGTCAGTGACAACCCTCTCCCTCCAGTGGCGACTCACGAACAACCTGCGCAAGGCCCACCTCGTTACTAAGACGAGTCGATGGTTATCGAGGTTTACGCCCAAAGATGCAATCCATTACGTTTATTAGCCCTTTCCCTACTCCAGCGGAACTCGGCTCTGGAAGTCGAACGGCGCGCTTCGCTACTTTGGCTGCAAAACCAAAAAGACAAAGAACGTTACGTTCGAATGCCTCTCAGGAGATTTTGCATCGGGCATTGGCCTTTCTTCGTGATGAATTCAAGGCCCGTTCTGCTGCCTCTGACCTGTTTCCTCCGGCCATATCTCCCAAAACGATACGTGCATCGATGGGACGATACGAGGATGAGCTACCAGGCGCTTCTGCGAGGGGTCTGTGCGCTTCTTGTGGCATGGATGTCCGTGCGGCAAATGTGGTTCACGTCGACATCCATGATCCTATCCTGATGCCATTGGTCAATCACCTCAACAGTTGCGGCCTACACGGCAACCGCTGGAGCCTTTACTTGTTATGCCACAATGCACTTGTCCGGAAGACCATCCCAAAGTTTTCTGGGGAAAAACTGGTTAATGTGGCCATGTGTCAGCACTACCCATCCTCCTAGACAACCTCACTCCCGTTGAGGAGTGCCTCATAGCAAGATCTCATCCTCTCAGTTGATCTTGAAGTTGAGGCCAGGGGGGCATTCTGCTCCTTTCAACTATCGGGCGCTTCAAGGTCATTTTATTGTTATACCGCAGGATCCAGGCCCCCTCCTCAACATCTTGCCAAGCCCTAAATTAATATAACCTGATCTTATTGCAGTCGTCTGGTTAGGACAACAACGTCCTTTACACTCGGACTTGGCCCCTTTCATATCAGTGCGGAAGTCCAAAGTCCTAGCCGCGTTGGAATACCTGCTTCACCATAATCACCTGTATAAAAACGTACCTATCAACCGCGCCGTGATTTGACGACTGGAGTGACGACTTCATCCCCACAGAGCTGTGAGACAGTATTGTGTTCCTAGATGAATCTGACCACCATGAGCGTGAGGGATATAATGTTCTTCTACAAAGGTTCACCTCTGGGTCGTTGGAAATACTCTCGTCTACGCTTTGGATGATAATGTTCTCCAGGTAACGGATCACACAATCAGCAAATTCAGGGTTAGAGAGAAGGCGGCTCTGTAGTGTACTAAAATGAAGATTGCCTCATAACCACACCATTGCATATAAATGCAACATGCCTCTACCATTAGTCTCCACCACCCTATAATAATTCAAAACATCTCCAAGAATTCCCCTATGATTGCAACCACTGGCTAGCAATCCATCGAAAACAGCAGCACAGATGTGATGGACAAAAGCCGCAACTACCACTGGGTTTGATGTAGCAGCGGCAGCACGTACAGCAGAGTTAGAGGCAGAATGGATGTCTTCAGACTACTCAACACCAGCCAAAATTAGAACAAGTGGGTTCCAAAGGTCTGAAGGATTAATAGTAAGCCAAAAAGCTAGCATTCTAAAGCAAATAATTAGACCTCAGATCTTAGAGCACATTCTCAATTTTTGTATGAAAGACCTCGGGACCCACATCACAATAGATTTCAAAAGGAACAACGGGCGGGAGATGACAGGATTATTAATTTCATAATTAGAGTCAAGATCATTTAGTGCATTGCGAAGCTGATCCTCCATAAGAGAAGCAATATCATCTGTCACAGACAGTCAGTGGCGACGTTCCAGGAGCAATCTATTAGCCAGGGAAGATTTTCAAATTTGTAACACGTCATATACAAGATACATGAAGGTTTTGTGGCGAGCGAATCTACGAGAGTCAGAAGTGATGGATGGATTTTTTAGGCGAAACATACCTCCTGCTATGGTGCCTCAACGCCGATTCGGTAAATGCAAACGGACGATCTTCCAGGTGGCCTCCAATACCATGCGGAAACAGAGTTGGAAAAGCGGCAGTGAAGTACATAGGGTCATGCCAGTAGTCCACAAGTATTGCGTGACCCCGAATTCTGTAAGAAAGGTTAGGGATACATTACCAGTCATGTAGATGCACATTCTCAGTAGATACTGGCAACTGGTCAGAGACCATATTAAGCAAGCTATTCAAGAGGCGCCTGTCAGGGTTCTAACATTCACTATTAATATCTGCAGACACGTAGCCAGTCATCAGGGGATCATAATTATTAAAGCCAGGCATAGTATCCTGCACCACCTAGAGGTCATTCTCATAGTTACCCCCATCTAATTAAATTAAATAACCCTCACATTCATGGCTATAAGGCTTATTAGCACAGATAATATTTTCCTAGAGTTCAGGTGGAATGAACTTGTCAGTCTATATATTAAGGGTCTGGTGGTTGATAGTTAGATTTTAGTAAACTTGATTATGTTAGGCCAAGTATTAGAGGGCTACAAGAACCCTATATTTTTATATAAGCAAGAATAGAGGTAGGTTAGTATATAATACTAGCTTTTTTCCTAACTAAAAAACTCTAATCACATCATGCAATGCTAATGCTAGGCTTGGGAGGATTATAAGCAGCAGCTCTAGATCTTGCAGGATAATAATAAAGTGGCTGCGCAAAGCATGGTAGTTTAAAGGGGATGTGCAGCCTCTAGGTCACTATTTAATAATAACCCTAAGGGGGTGGCATTTAGCAATAAGGCATTCTTTAATAGGGGTGAGATCTTTAAGCACTAACAGGTAGTTCTAACATAGAGTCATATTAACATAATTCAAGGCAGAGAATCTAGGGAGTGTGTTTTAGGAAAGAGATTTAAGACATATCAAGCACAGGTCCTAATCATCTCTATGTTTGATGTAATGGTTAAGGTAGCCACATAGTAGTTAACACAGAGGTCCTCATTGCTCACTTCCATAATTTCCAAAATAGGGACAAATCTTCCACAACTACTCTCAGCTGCGGCTTTTATATATTCCTCATATCTGGATACTAAAGCTCAGATTTGTGCTTGAGATAGCAGTGGAGGGAAAGCTTCTGAAGCAATTTGTCTCTATCCCAGCTCATCATCCAATAATTGTAAGGCATGGTCAATGATGTGTTAAGGGCTTCTTTCACTATCCATTGTTAACCTCTCTATTCGTGGAACCATGTTTAGCTGGTCCGATCTTTCAGCAGAGAGTGTGGCTAGGGCTGGTTGAGGGAAAGCCCAATATATTCGTCGGCTATCATGTTCAGGTACGAAAGATTCAACGGTGGATGAGCTCGGTACATAGCAAGGCTGTGGATGTGACGGAACCGTAGGGGAAACCGCGAAAAGGTCGCCGGTTCGAACCCGGCACTGGCCATTGTTTTTTGTATGTTTCTGATATACACTGGAATTTGGAAAGGTGGACAGATAGAGGAAAGCAACTAGCAGAGAAATTAGTGGAGTTTGTTTCGGTAGACGCTGAAACTGGAGGGCGGGTCGGATGCGGGGCAGAAGTAATCGCGGGAGGCCTTGGAAGAATAAGGCGGATGGGTGATGGGCCACGCTATTCACTAGGAGAGTGCGGGGACAACATCGTAGCGGACGGGGTGTCAGAATACAGAGCAACAGAATAGCGATTTGTTGGGAGATTGTATTAGGGACGAGGGAAAGAAAAAGTCAGCGGGGACGGTTGGTATGTGGACGGCAGTGCAGCGACTAGCCCGTCGAGGAAAAAGCGGTTGTCAGATATTCCATGAGGTCTTGGCATCAGCAACCCCACGTTCTCTCCAACCTTGTTGATTCTGCCTTGGGTTGGTGTCTGTTATAAAACAGGAACCTTTGGTATCCAGTGTGGAGGGAGAGCCACACACTTTTGCAGTTACATTCCGCCGTCTTTTTTTTCGCCTCTAGAATATATACAACCTACATACCGTTCATCATGGCCCGTGTACAGGAACTCATGGGAACATTGCCCGGGATTGTCAGCGAAATGAGATCTCTTATCAACAGCAGGCAAACCGCGGAGGAGGCGCGAGCAAACTGGGGCTGGAGGCATGGAGGTCCCAGGTTTACCGATGAAATTACTAAGCTCAAGATGGAGCTAAGAGCGCAAGGCAAGCCGGTCAGTTTGAGAAATGTTCCTGTTTTAGGTGCTTCATCTGATGCAGATAGGTCACCACCTGCACCGCATTTCACGTCTTCAAGGAGTCCAAGGTTAAAAACCCCACAGGCCGCATGATTGTGATTCCTATCGGTGGGACAATTCTGTTCAAAAAGGGTAGCGAGGTACTCACCCCAGGCTATTATTATTACATTGAAGACGAAAGGATCCTGCATGGCCAGGATATGGATGTAATTTTGGCCGCGCTGGAGAAGAAAAAATAGCGGCTGTTTCAGAGCGACACTGGCTTAGAGAGAGCGCTGACACTGAAATTTATGGTTTAAGCATGGTGCATTGACATCGTGTCAGCCATATCTTACCACTATTGAATCCGGAGAGTATTGGATATCAATATTTAGCTAAATTCTGGCTGGGCCAATCAGATTGCTGGATTCTACTATAGATTCAACTCACCAGATTAAGGAGATTTTACAGGGTTTTCATTTCATTAATTATAAGTAGTTAGTTAGACATCTAGATTGCCAGAAATCAGACCCTCTTTCATCCCGAAACATACCGCTTACTAGCGATTACCATAGATTCACTATTATCAGGGATCGGTTGACAGTTATGAGCCTGGCCCAATTAATAGCTATTAGATACCATACCTGTAAGGCAACGTCTACCCCATTCCAAGGCCTTAATAGATACTGCTTTAGGAAGGGGGTAAGGCCATTCAAAATAGGTTATCTCAGCGCCCTAGCAAGCTATTATGTCTAACTATTCAATTACTACCAATTCTATGCCTACTCAGAGGGTCCTAATTATTCTAGATCAGCCAGATGATTAGTAGGCATGGATTTAGATACATTTAATGTAAGGATCTACGTATCAGGGTAGATGGCCTGTTGACTAGGTAAGAATTGGTGATGATAATCAATGGAAGAGGATGGTAGAGAGTAGTAGATTATATGAAACAAAAACTAATCCTTATCTTCTTGAATACTAGATAAGGGGGATACTATTTATCTTCACTGTCTATCCTAGATGCATTCAGCAATGATTTGAAAGTGGCTTAAGGCGTGAAAACAGGAGGTTAAAAATAATTAGGAAGCAAGGGGTGGCTGCATAATTAAGTAGCTAGGCTGTAGTTAAGCCTTTATAATTATACCCCTCTAGTGGCTGCATAATTAAGTAGCTAGGCTGTAGTTAAGCCTTTATAATTATACCCCCTCTAGTGGCTGCATAATTAAGTAGCTAGGCTGTAGTTAAGCCTTTATAATTATACCCCTCTAGTTATAACAACTGTCCTCAGTCAGAGTTATATAACTTCAAATTTTCCTAAAGAAGTAAACAATATCACGATAGTTGTAAAGGCTCAGCTGCAGCCCAGCCACTCAATTATGCAGCCACCCCTTGCTTCCTAATTGTTTTCAACCTCCTGTTTTCACACCTTGAGCCGCTTTTGAATCATTGCTGAATGCATCTAGGATAGACAGCAAAGATAAATAGTATCCCCCTTGTCTGGTATTTGAGTAGACAAGGATTAGTTTTTATTTTCATATGATCTACTACTCTCTACCATCCTCTTCCATTAATTATTATTACTAATTCTTACCTAGTCAACAGGCCATCTACCCTGATACGTAGATCCTTACAATTTCTAATCCTTCTTTCTTTGACTACTTAAGTATTAGTTATGATGCCTGCTGATTTTCACCATGAAGCTATTACTTCTACCCCTTCGCCAGTGGAACAACATGGTCCTATTAAAGAAATATCTCCTAATCTAAGTGACTCCTCTACCCCTATTAATCAACCTCAAGAGTTGAAGGGTGCTGAAATAAAATAAATCCTATAATAAATTACTAAACTTAAACGCCTTTAACAGATTCAAAGAGTTGATGAGTTTGAACAACTTTCCTATTAAAATGACACCTCTTCAACAGAAGATAGGCAGGAAATTAAATTTAAGAATCTTCTTATTTTTACTATTAAATATTCACTCTAGAAAAGAGAAGAATGACTCTGAGATATAGAATATATATTCTAAGGAGCCCCAAAGAAATATGCCCCTAATAAGTTTAAAATCATTACTACTATTACATAAATGGACTCTACCTGCAGGCAGTGATAGTATATTAAAATTTATAAAATATTAACAGAAAGATAATGAAATGCTGAGAATTTGTGGCAGTTTTTCAAAGACTAGACCTTGAGCTTGATCCAAGACGCTGAAACTGTTGAGGCTGATATTATTATTAAATTATATTAGGCCTATTAATGCCTAGATGAGGACCCTAGAGAATTTCATTATTATCTAGATTCTCTAGAATAATATTTCCCTAGACAAGATGAAAAGCAATGAGCTCTAGCCTTCTTTGGCAGCCTTATACCAGAGTTATATACTTATATTCAAGAACACCTTAATAAACTACCAGACACTTAAGATAAAATAGTGTCTGTAGCTTCAAAATACCATACCTTTTTACAGAAATGATAGAAACAGAAGAGAAAAGACATTAGAAAGCCTTAAGAAGGGAAATCTCAAGATGGTAACCCATTAAAATGCTTTTGAAGGAATTCTAAGAGGTTTATGAAACCTAAATGAAACTAACTTAATAAGGATGGGAATCCCTTAAAATACTATAAATATAGTAGTAAAGAACATCTTGCTAACTAGTGCATTGTAAGGGATGCTAAAGTCTAATTAATTATAGAAAATAATGAGGGGTTAGAGTAAAACCTATGCCTCTAACCTCCCACCTAGTAGTAGGGACTACTACTTATTTCTATATTCTAATACAGCTAGCCAACAGCCTTAAAATGCATGCTAATCTTGATAGCTATACTAAGGTTAATATTATTAGCATTACTTTTGCAAAATCATAAAAGCTACAGCAAGCTAAACTTACTGCCCCTATTATTAGGGTAGTTAATAACTTTGTTACCCCTACTTATGGGGTTTAGAAGGTCCCTATTATTGCCCATGATTCTAGGGGTAATAAATGAAGTTTTAAATAAGCTTATATAGCTATTAATTAAGACCCATAACCTAAAGGAAGTCCTATTCTTCTTTTAATAACTATATTATAGGACCTCCGCATCTACTTATCACCATGGAAATACTAATAGTGGTTTAAGATATTAACCTTTTCCCTAACCAACCCTTAAAAGTTTAAGAAACTATGTCATAACTATGCAATGGTATTTATATTAGTTAAATTACCTGAAGAGGTATGGCTCTCAGAGGAAGAGAAAGATAAGAAGTATTATTCTCTTAAGAATATACCTCCAGAACTAGCTAAGTTCTATGATATATTCTTAGCAGAAAAGTTAAAGATTATACCTTCTTACTCTTCTTAGGATCATGCTATTAAAATAAAACCTAATAAATTACTACTGTTTGGCCCACTATATCCCTTATCCTAAGTAGAACTTTGTGAATTAAAGGAGTATCTTGATAAGAATATTGCATGTGGAAGAATTTAACCTTCTAAAAGCCTTGCAGGAGCTCCTATCCTTTTCATCCTAAAGAAAGATAGGGGACTAAGACTATGTGTTAATTACTATGGACTTAATAAGATAATAGTGAAGAATTAGTACCTATTACCCCTTATATTAGAGATTCTTAACTAATTCTCAGGGGCTAAATGTGAATGGATAAGTAGTATGTAGTGTATAACTAACTAGTAGAGTTCACTAAAGCAAAGGGGAATAGATAGCTTGCCAAGGTAAGAAGGAAGAATAGTAGAAGGAAGTAGCTAAGGATATCTTAGCTGAATGTCTTAATTCCTTGATTTCTCTTGATTGCTTGATTAATTGTAAAACTAGGTGAGGAGTGACCTTGAGGACATATTTATAGGCAGTGGGTAGCTAGGTGATATCACTATGCTGTCATAGTGAGATCACTATTTGCCTCTTATTAAGGTTTAACCATACCATGGTTCTCACCAACAATAACTCTGACTGAGGACAGTTATTATAACTAGAGGGGGTATAATTATAAAGGCTCAGCTGCAGCCCAGCCACTTAATTATACAGCCACCCCTTGCTTCCTAATTATTTTCAACCTCCTGTTTTCACACCTTGAGCCGCTTTCAAATCATCACTGAATGCATCTAGGATAGACAGTGAAGATAAATAGTATCCCCCTTGTCTGGTATTTAAGCAGACAAGGATTAGTTTTTATTTTCATATGATCTACTACTCTCTACCATCCTCTTCCATTGATTATCGTCACCAATTCTTACCTAGTCAACAGGCCATCTACCCTGATACGTAGATCCTTACAATAGTTGACATAATGTAATGTTATTAATAGAGATAACTAATTATAGGATAGATGTAACACTTCTATTATATTAGCTTTGTATATTTTAAAATTTATTATGTTCTTTGTTATTGTGTACTATAGTGTAGTAGTAAATAATATTATTATAGATAATAACTATAGTATATTTATCTTAATTATATCTTTATTTATATTTTCTCTTCTTTTACCTTTATATATTAATACTTCTCTTTTACATCACAGTATTTTCTTTAGTATTACAGTTCCTTTTTATTTATTAATACTTAATATTTAAGTTCTTTTAATCCTTATAATTTCTTATTTATTTCTATTATATTTTGCTTCCTCTTTATATTTCTTGCTATTAAGTTTCATTATAGCTAATACTATTATTTATAGAAAGTATTAATATATATATTACCTTTATACTATATTAAAGAACTTTAACCCCTAAGGGGGTCTTCCTTTTAAAGTTAATTATAAGCTTTTAGACAGCACTTCTATAAAGTATATCTAGTATAACACCTATTATTTACTCTATAAACCTGTATGTTATATTAGTCCTATGTGTTAGTTTGGTGTTAACAGCTATTTCTTAGGCTGCACCTAGTATGGCCAGGAATGCCCTTAACCTGTCTGCTATTATTAAATAGTATACTAGGTTCTTTAATCCCTAGTATACCTAGGACCTGAGCCTTTTTAAGGACTTTTTAGTCACCTTTCTTAGGCTTATTAATACCTTTAAAAATATAGAGTAGAACCACTATTAGTTATATAGCATTATAGGAAAGAAAAAGGAACAGCATGTAAGTTTCTAGGTTAATTTATTACTATAGTACTATCTTAATACTAATATTCTTGCAGAGTAATAAGTATAATAAGTTCCTTAAAGGTTATTATACTAAAATAGCTTATATTTAGTACCTAAATACTAGGGCTACTACTAATAATTAGGCTGCATATTATTTAGCTAAAGCTCTTCAACTTATGCCTGGTAATACTAGGTATATGGCTTAGGCTGCCTCCCTTCTCTTTTTTATAGAGGAGATCAAGGTAATTAGCATCTATTTCTATAGTAATGAAATAGTGGTTGCTAGCTAGACTTACTTAGCTAATATTAATTAGTCTTTTCCTTTAGTACTTAAGGATATTTAAGTTAGTGTTATATTCTGCATTTATCTATTATACTTAGCCTTAGC